GAAGTTTACTGAACTGAAACGGATTGAACTAAATTAAACTGAACTGAAGTGAACTTGACTGGATTGAACTGAAGTGAACTAAACTGAACTAAACTGAACTAAACTGAACTGAAGTTTACCGAACTGGATTGAACTGAACTAAACTGAAGTTTACTGAACTGAACTGGATTGAACTTAATTAAACTGAACTGAAGTGAACTGGATTGAACTTGAATGGATTAAACAGAACTGAACTGAACTAAACTGGAGTTTACTGAACTGAACTGGATTGAACTAAAGTAAACTGAACTGAAGTGAACTGGATTGAACTGACTGAAGTGAACTCAGGTGAACTAAATTGTGTTCAGGTGCCAACAACGCCATAGAAGGTACATATAAAGACATACATTGATATACTATATAAGGATAAGTGACATTGATTATGTCAAAATGATAAACAAGATACACTGGTACAGATTACCTTTGATATTACCTTATTAGGAAGTGGTTGTAATAAGAAACTATTTGGATTATAATAATACAATGGAAGTAAATGTGTTTTTTGGGGGTTCGAAAAACAAGCAGATGACCAGATGGTGATAGTTATCACATGTATGATTCATGCTACAGGTTGTACATTTCCTACATTCCTCGCTGTGATTAGAAGACCTGAATTTCAACAGATGTCGCACATAGTTTATCGTGCGGTGATTAAATGGGCTTTTGAAATTATATTTCAAATTCTAGTGCTAGTTTATGATCACACGTATGGCCAATGTGTTCTAGTGACGTGGAGCAACTTCAGTTTTAACGATGTTACAAAATTCATGATTCCCCGATTTCATGTCCGCGTGGGTTTATAGAATGTTTAAATCTAGATTCAGTTAATTGTTACAAGTGTGTGATTTTCAAAGTGGTGGGGGATATTTTCAGATGCAGCGCTTGTATTATTAACTTGTTGATGTTTCCCGCACCGCCTCCGTGGTCTAGTGGTAGAGCGTTCGCCCGGAGAACGGAAGGTCCGGGGTTCGATACCCGGCCGCGTCATACCAAAAGACGTTAAAAGATGGTACTTGTTGTTACCCTGTCTGGCGCTCGGCATTAAGGGGCTAAAACAAGGACTGGTCGGCTCGGAGTCAGTATACTGTGTCTGAGTGGGGTATTCATGTTAAACTGTGGCATGGTATCTCAGTGAGCTAGCACTATAAATCGGCATCAGTCCGGACTAGTACAAGCAGCCACACACACACACACACACACACACACACACACACGTACATGCACGTCGCTATATAAGTGCAATAATCTTGGACGCGATGTTAAACCCCGTTTCACCTCACCTGATGTTTACGATGATGTTGCATCGGTTGTTGAAAAATATCCGTAAGCCGAATGCCTGTGGGGCCTAGCATCATTACATAAATCCTGCTTCCTGGTCACGAGGGGCAATTCTGCGACCATGAACTTATATATTTCATAATATTCCTATACGCTGAAGGAAACATCGTCAACAAGTTAAGGATGTAAATTTATCGTCCAGACAGAACCCATTTCTTCCCAGGTGATGAATATCTACGCTCGGATTTCTCGATTGAACGTACTTTATGTTGGTTTCTCGACAGGATCAAGTCAGTGGATGAAAACGGCATCCGCTGGTGATTAATTATGCATAAATATGCAACTAGAAAAGGTCAGGTAGGTACTACTTTCAGTGTTTACAAACCAACATGGGGTCACCTGTCTGTCGATGATCGTGTAGGATTTGTTACCTCATGTCACGTGTTTGTTTTCATAATCAAAATAATAGTATAAGACCGAAAATCAATGCTTAAAAGACCAAACAAGATAAAACTATATTGTCTCTTGTCACTGTCCGACTGACTAAACACTGACCTTGTGACGTAATATATTAATGCGCACGTTCTTGCAATGTTGAGGTACCGTTTGTGGGAGATGATAAACCCTGTTTTCGACTATAAATTCAAGAATGACGTTAACTGATAACGAGGTTATCACGCTGGCGTGTTTTTGGATAGTAAATATCCTTTCTCTGGAATAAACGTCACGTATTTAACTCGACAGGGCTCGTTAAATGCAATGTTTAGTCCTAATACAGGATATTTACCATTCCAAAACACACTCGCGTGATAACCTCAATATATTTTATTTCCGATGATCCACAAAACGAGAGTTTTCACTGCATATTACTTTCCACTGTATTGTCCACGTGTACAGCGATGTTCGCCCGACTATCTTGTCACAAATATTCAATCATTAACAACAGCACCATAGTCACCGATATTCCTCCAATAAGCGCTCCGGCGCTATTCTTTGAACAAGCTTATGGATAATGGACGGCCGGCGGTAATAAGAGACCCGGGCTTAATATTTTAACTAAGATGTTGAAAATGCTTCAGCCACTATTACTCTAACCTTTTATTTATTCAAGCGAGACGTAATTTAAGTCTGACATACCCGTCTCTTATTGTCTTCGCTGCATCGTACTCGGCGCCTATGCGATAACCTGTGTTTATAATTGGAAATACGGTAACTGGATAGTCGTGATAATATTTTAAATTACAATTGATTTAACATTAAAGTGTCTGTTTCCTTTGCCGGGGCTCCTGTCATCCAAGATGAGGAGGCTGCTGTGGCTGAAATTAGAGAGCCCCATCTGTCACACTGTGTTATAACCTTTATCACCTACATGACGTCATATGCAGTTATAACAGTACACTGTGTTACACACTGCTCATTTCAACATCAGGGTCTTGTACAGTTCGTACATATCATCAGAACATAATGCTGTCGTATAGATTTATTACCTCACAGGAAAGATCGCTTTATTGTTTTAATTATGTATTTCGATATTGACAACGCAAATTTGATTCAGCTCATTGTATTGTCAAACTTACTGTTGATCTGCTAGGCTGGAGTAAACTGCCCGCTGAAAGAGTTTTTGTTTCTTTGTTGTTTAACGCCGCACTCAGCGATATTCCAGCTACAGGACGACGGTCTGTACATAATCGAGTCTGGACCACACAATCCAGTGATTGATATCATGAGCATCGATCTCCGCAATTTGGATACGATGACATGCATCAACCAAGAAAGCGAGCTTGACCACTCGATCCCGTTGGTCGCCTCTTACGACAAGCATAGTCGCCCTTTACAGCAAGCATGGGTTGCTGAAGCAGGCTCAAAGAACGTATACACAGAGAAGATGAAGTGCAAAATACATCAGAATTGTTGAAATGGTGATACAAGGAGAACACCTATCATCTCTGTTCCTATTGAGAGATATAATGAGAAAAAGCCTAACCCAACCGAAAAATCCCAGATGGTTGCTAAATTTCAAGCTAGCCGCCAACTGTCAAAATTAATATATATTTCTCACAAATAGTAATTGAATTATCTGATTTGGGTGGAAAGCAAAACCACTGAGACTTTTTTTTCAATTTCATCTGGTTGACTGTGTCCGTGAACATCCTTATTTCATCTGGTTCACTGTTTGAAAGAACATCCTTACTTCACGTGGTTCACTGTGTCCGGGAACATCTTTATTTTACCTGGTTCACTGTTTAAAAGAACATCCTTATTTGATCTGGTTCACTGTGTCCGGTAACACCCTTTTTTCATCTGGTTCACTGTGTCCGGGAACACCCTTTTTTCATCTGGTTCACTGAGTAAAAGAACATTCTTACTGCATCTGGTTCACGGTGTCCAAGAACCTGCGCATTTCATCTGGTTCATTGAGTCTAAGAACATCCTTATTTCACGTGGTTCACTGTGTATGCTCTCTCTTTCTCTGTCAATGTGAAACATTTAGGTACCAATCATCATTAATAATACTCATTCTCTCTTTCTGTTGATATATACCAATCAGTGTTAATGGTACTCTCTCTTTTTGCGTTTATATGAAACGGGGTGTTCTCATCCAGTACAATACTGAAGATCAGGGGAATGAAGTGGATTAGGGCTTGGGGATTATAGTCTGTTCTCGAACTGTCCTCATCTTGACCTTGTGGTCAATTCGGAGGTATATATTTATTCAGTTATTACTATTCACGTTGAGCTGACTACACACGAGGAGACCCGTAAAGATCCGGGGTAGAATAGGTCTACAGCAACCCATGCTTGCCGTAAAATGCGGAGCGTTTGGTTATAAAAAAGGACCGGTCATTTTTTTACGGGGGAGGGAGTTCAAAGAGTCTTGTCAAATTTTGGATGAATCTCCCCAAGTCCTTGTACATTTTTATGACCCTCCCTGAAAAGACAAAATGCTAATGAACTATCTAGTTTGTAAAACTGGCCATTGTTTCAAGACCCTCTCAGAATATGTATATTACTTCCTACGGCCTGTGTGAGACCGTCATATTTTTTTGTGACCCTCCACTGATTTCTCCTTGACCAACACACCACCCCACCCTTCCCAACCTATAACAGGGGGGCACGGGTGGCCCAGTCGTCTAAGGCGCCGCGATTCGCTGTGCAGAGTTGCGTCCCTTGGTACGCCAGAAACCTATGATTGTGAGTTCGAATCCCGGTTCGCCCCGATTGTTTCTAGGTTTGTCAGCACCATACCCGTGCTCGTGGGTCTCACCGAAGTGGTAAACGTCTTAGACCTGCATCACTTCGGGCTTTCCTCCCACATTAAGCTGACACGCCGCGATATAACTGGAATACTGTTAAAAGCGGCGTTAAACCCAACTCACTCACTCACTCACTCACCCACCTATGATAAATTCAGTCAACAATATCTTGGCTATATGTTTACAGCCACAGAGCTGTAGTGTGATAGGGACTTAAGCTAAATTGGCTATGCAATGCCAATAAACCGCTTCATCACACGTGGCTAACCTTGAGCTGCTGTGGAACGATTTTGAGCTGGATGAGAGTGAACCTATGAAACATGTATACCAATCAATATTAATAGTGCTCTCTTTCAACGTAAATCTTATTTAGTCGGGCACACGATCACACTATTAATTGTGTGTGTGATAAAAATATTTCTAAAACTTTCAAAGTTTCTCTTCCCTTCTCGGCTTCTGTATACGCGAGGAAAGAAAATCTGCTGACACAGGTGGATTGAGTTGATTGATAGGGCATTCAAACGGCTGACACGTAGAGGTTGCCAAGCAGCGCCGTAAAGCATGACGGGGGAGTCGTGGAGCCTGGTTTGGCACTCGTGGAGCCTTGTTTGGGGGGGGGGGGGGGGGGGGAGTCGTCGTGGAGCAAGGTGGGGAGTCGTTGAGCTTGGTGGGATGTCGTGGAGCCTGGTTGGGGAGCCGTGGACCTGGCGTGGGAGTCGTGGAGCCCGATGAGGAGCCGTGGAGCCTGGTGGAGAGTCGTGGAGCATGGTAAGGAGTCGTGGAGCCTGGTGGAGAGTCATGGAGCCTGGTGGGGAGTCGTGGAGCCTGGTGGGGGAGTCGTGGAACATGGTGGAAAGTCCTGGAGCCTGGTGGGGGAGTCGTTGAGCCTGGTGGGGGAGCCGTTGAACCTGGTGGAAAGTCCTGGAGCCTGGTGGGTGAGTCGTGGAGCCTGGTGGGGGAGTCGTGGAACATGGTGGGGGAGTCGTGGATCATGGTGGGGGAGCCGTGGAGCCTGGTTAAGTCGTGGAGCATGGTGGAGAGTTGTGGAGCCTGGTGGGGAGCCGTTGAACCTGGTGGAAAGTCCTGGAGCCTGGTGGGTGAGTCGTGGAGCCTGGTGGGGGAGTCGTGGAACATGGTGGGGGAGTCGTGGATCATGGTGGGGGAGCCGTGGAGCCTGGTTAAGTCGTGGAGCATGGTGGAGAGTTGTGGAGCCTGGTGGGGAGCCGTTGAACCTGGTGGAAAGTCCTGGAGCCTGGTGGGGGAGTCGTGGAGCCTGGTGGGGGAGTCGTGGAACATGGTGGAGAGTCGTGGATCATGGTGGATAGTTGTGGAGCCTGGTGGGGAGCCGTTGAACCTGGTGGAAAGTCCTGGAGCCTGGTGGGGGAGTCGTTGAGCCTGGTGGGGGAGTCGTGGGGCCTGGTGGGGGAGCCGTGGAGCTCGTTGGGGAGTCGTGGAGCCTGGTGGGGGAGTCGTGGAGCTCGTTGGGGAGTCGTGGAGCTCGTTGGGGAGTCGTGGAGCCTGGTGGGGGAGCCGTGGAGCCTTGTGGGGGAGTCGTGGAGCCTGGTGGGGGAGTCGTGGAGCCTGGTAAGGAGCCGTAGAGCCTGGTGGGGGAGTCGTGGAGCTCGTTGGGGAGTCGTGGAGCCTGGTGGGGGAGTCGTGGAGCCTGGTAAGGAGCCGTAGAGCCTGGTGGGGGAGTCGTGGAGCCTGGTGGAGAGTCGTGGAGCCTGTTGGGGAGTCGTGGGGCCTGGTAAGGAGTCGTGGGGCCTGGTAGGGAGCCGTAGAGCCTGGTGGGGAGTCGTGGAGCCTGTGGGGGAGTCGTGGAGCCTGGTAAGGAGTCGTGGGGCCTGGTGGGGAGTCGTTGAGCCTGGTGGGGGAGCCGTGGAGTCCGTTGGGGAGTCGTGGAGCCTGGTGGGGGAGTCGTTTAACCCACCCCTCACCTACACTAAAATCACTCTCTGTATCCCCAATACCTTCCCCCAGCCTTATCCCACATCCTTCACCTAGCTCTCTACATCGACCGCCTCCCTGGTCGAGTGGATAGAGCGTCTGCCCGGAAAGCGGAATGTCGGGGTTTCGATCAGGGCCGCGCCATACCAGGAGAGGTTTAAAGATGGTTCGTGTTGTTTCCCTGACTCGCGCTCGGCATTAAGGGGATAAAACAAGGACTGGTCGGCTCGGAGTCAGTGTACTGCGGGGTATCTCCATGGGCTGGCATCATAAAACCGACATTACAGTCTGTTTTTTCCGTAGTAGACACAGCCACAGCCACCTGCTCTCTACATACCCCCTCTCCCACACACAGACACGCACGAACGCACACGCACACGTACACACACGCATTCACACAATGGATGACTTCACTTTTAGACAACTGCCCGAAGGCTGATTCGATCTGATTTGAGTTTATCTACAGGCGTTCCGTGCTGACAAGTTATACATTATTCATGACACGCCGACCTTGCCCATGGGCGCGCCTACAGCCTTTGCTATGCATATGTAGAAAATATGAACAGCGTGTTCTTAATGTGACAGTAAAGCTTGAAGAGGCGCTCGTGAAATACGTGTACATCTTTGGTCAACGATCTGGAACCTGGACTGCAATATGCGGGGATGCTTGTCTGCAATATGTCAGTAGCTGGAACCTGGTCTGCAATATGTCAGTAGCTGGGAGTCTGGTCTGCAGTATGTCAGTAGCTGGGAGCCTGGCCTGCAATATGTCAGTAGCTGTGATGCTGGTCTGCAATATGTCAGTAGCTGGAACCTGGTCTGCAATATGTCAGTAGCGGGGATGCTTGTCTGCAATATGTCAGTAGCTGGGGGCCTGGTCTGCAATATGTCAGTAGCTGGGGTCTGGTCTGCAATATGTCAGTAGTTTGGAGCCTGGTCTGCAATATGTCAGTAGCGGGGGTGCTTGTGTGCAATATGTCAGTAGCTGGAACCTGGACTGCAATATGTCAGTAGTTGGGGGCCTGGTCTGCAATATGTCAGTAGCGGGGATGCTTGTCTGCAATATGTCACTAGCTGGAACCTGGACTGAAATATGTCAGTAGCTGGGAGTCTGGTCTGCAATATATCAGTAGCTGGGAGCCTGGCCTGAAATATGTCAGTAGCTGGGAGCCTGGCCTGCAATATGTCAGTAGCCGGAAGCCTGACCTGCAATATGTCAGTAGTTGGGGGCCTGGTCTGTAATATGTCAGTAGTTAGGGGCCTGGTCTGTAATATGTCAGTAGCGGGGATGCTTGTCTGCAATATGTCAGTAGCTGGAACCTGGACTGAAATATGTCAGTAGCTGGGAGCCTGGCCTGCAATATCTCAGTAGCTGGAAGCCTGTACTGTCATGTCAGTAGCTGGGAGCCTGGTCTGCAATATGTCAGTAGCTGGGAGCGTAACCCCCCTATAATAAATGACCAGTCCCTAATCAGGACAACTCTATGGGAAAGAAATAAACCAGCTTATATGTTTCAGTATTTCAATGTATTTCAACCAATAACCATTCTGCCATCTGATGGTTCATTGCGACATATTAATGCTGACAATTCCCTAGTACGAAACACAGGACTTGCCAACTGACACAGCACTTCCGGATAAACTGAGCTCTATGACCTTTGTCGAGTCCTACAACCAGATCAAGCTCTGTTATGACACTGCTCCCAAATGCGACATCAACTCATGTAGTATATATAAGCTAAGGGTTATGTATACGCATAGGCGGTAACGGCAATCGAATCGCCTAAATTGCAATTGGTCCCCGTTTCACAAAACGATATCGGTGTTACGACAATGACATAAGGTTAATAAAGGAACTTGTGCCAGAAAGTGATCACAGCGTCACGACAAACGTAAATGTTGTTATGTTTACGACATACATGTAGGCAACGTTTAACGCTAAGAGAAACCATTGCCGCAAAGTACCCATGACGTTACGACTGTCGCAATATTACACGCGCTACGACCAACACAAACGCTGTAACACGTTGCTGCGACTTACGTAACTTTCATACTTTAACACTGACTTACTGGAGTCGGTATGGCCTCGTTCTACCAAACAGTAACTCTTCGATCGGGGCTCTAACGTTCTACAAAGCGATCGGAGCGCAAAGACGATTGTAACTCCCATACTTTAACATACACTTACGACAGTCGTAGCGGTACGATCGCTTTGTGGGACGGAACCCTGCACAAGTCGAACAGGTCATTTACTGTGGAGATGAACGGTCTAATCTCCCCTATGCTTGTCACAGCTTATGAATGTTTAACCTACTTATATCAGTATGTATTATTCCCTTATGAGGTCAGCTGATGCGCATTGTGTTTCCCCTGTCAAGAGAGATTAACAGAGCAATACCACGAATACTAATCCCGCCGAGAAGGTTCACGAGGACTGTTATCCTTCTGAAGTTGTTGTGACGTCAGCAACTCCCACGCGCAAGCACTTAGTGACTCAGTGGCAAGGATTAGGACCAAATACAAGTAAGTTCTCCTGATGAGGTCATATGCGACCCTTGGACCCGACCCATCCTCTCAGACCAAAGACGGGGTAGGGTACGAAAGAAATTAAAAGATGCTTGATAGAAGTATGCAAAGTTGCACATGCAATGTGTTTGTTCGTATACAGTCCGAGTCCGAAATCGGTTCCATCGGAAGCGCTCAGAATGTCTCCACACCATCATCATCATCATCATCATCATCATCATCATCATCATCGTCGTCGTCGTCGTCATCATCGTCGTCATCATCATCATCATCATCATCATCACAATCATCATCATCGACCCGTGAAGATCCGGAGTAGAATAGGACTTCAGCAACCAATGTTTGCCCCATAAGGCGACTGTGCTTGTTGTAAGAGGCGACTAATGGGATCGGGTGGTCAGGCTCACTGACTTGGTTGAAGCATGTCATCGCTCCTAATTGCGTGGATCGATGCTCATGTTGTCAATCACTGGATTGTGTGGTCCAGACTCAATTATTTACAGACCGCCGTCATATAGCCGGAATATTGCGGCGTTAAACAACAAACAAACAAACAAATGCTTGTCGTAAGAGGTGACTAAATGCATGGGGTGGTCAGGCTACCTGACTTGTTTGATAGCATGTCATGGGATGGCGTGGGGCGTTCTTTATATTAACCACGGTAGCGTCTAGCCCATAGAAGATCAGCATCTATAATGGTTATGGGAAATTTCGATGTGAAACTTATTCTCACGTTTTGCACGTGCGTTGGTCCGTCTTTCGGCACCCTGATATAATAAATAAATGCCAGTGAACAAAACTTGCGTTGAATACATTGTATGTATTTTAATAGTTTTTAATAAAGGGGTTCTTTGTTTTCTGTTCACGTATGCGTCCTATTCTACCATGTGCGACTAACGTTACCATGGTTACATGGGAAACGACACATAACTGTTAATACATAACAGAGGTTCGGCCGTTACAGCTTGCATCGAGAGGGCAATGGTCGACAGGAGACTCACCTATTTCGCCTGATTGGTGGAGATCATTCTGGAAATCTGTCCGAGACGTGTTTGAGACAGAAAATACATGATCGAAAAAACAATGATTATAGTTATTATGTTTAAACCAATGATAGTGTTACTGCCAACCAACACTTTGTGAATTTTCAGATTTTCGCGAAGCTCACTACAGCGATATCACTTTTCGCCCAAGGACAAAATGACGTTTATGAACTGATGGAATTTACATTGGGAATTATTAATTATTATGTATTTATATATGGAATTTATTATGTCAAAATACCAAAATATGGTTTGGTATAAGAGAGAGAGAGAGAGAGAGAGAGAGAGAGAGAGAGAGAGAGAGAGAGAGAGAGAGAGAGAGAGAGAGAGAGAGAGAGAGACGGCGTGGGGGTGGGGCCGGGGCAAGGGGCGGTTGTGCAAGGTCTTATTGGAGACAGAATGTTTTTTTCTTCCAGCGTTTTCGGGAACATATTATTTATTTAAATCAAATACATGCCTCCAATAATCGGAAGAATACAGAGGCTGGCTCTCTAATTGGCGCCGAGTTCAGTACAAAATTTATGAATGATTCCCGTTAACAAACCACAGAAGGAATTGTCCGTAATTTCCCGTGTAGAAAAAGAGACATGTTTCTAATGGACACCGGGTCTTCGATAAACGACCATCATTTTAATGTCCGGGAAATACTCGCAGGGGGCGTCTTTTCGAGGAACTACGGTATAACCCGTGTAGTCTGAGAGAGAGAGAGAGAGAGAGAGAGAGAGAGAGAGAGAGAGAGAGAGAGAGAGAGAGAGAGAGAGAGAGAGAGATATGTTATGTACACTGCAGGTGCATGAGTGTTAGTCGAGCACTTTATTACCATGTTAACAGGTAGCGGCCTACGGTTGGCTCCACATCACACGTGCACCTACAGCTTCAGGAACATAATACGTTGGAACGGCATCGCTGCACAGTGTACGGAACACATGTCACGAGCTCTTACATCCGCGCATCTGTCAGTAATTTGATGGAGTGATGAAAACCACTCGCCCTACGTCCGGGGAAAATTCCTGCACGTGCAAGGCCACACTGACCTGCACTGACCAACATGGCGGCCACTTGGCCTGTCGAACGTCGGCGACCTTGGCGCAATTAAACGCACGTTATCAAATATTAAACATCGAGGTCACTCGAAGAGCAGGTAGGCGAAACGATGTGTACTGTTGAGTGCCAAGTTTCTATTTACCTCAGCCGGTTACTGTAGAGATGAAACTTATGCCAGATGTCACTTAATCGGGATTGGATTTCAGATTGGATGCGGCGCGTCCTTGACACGTGACCATGTTCAAAGCGATCAATTAGCTTGGCTGTCGTTACTTGTAACGGCTCGGTGCGGAAGGTGATCAGTTAGATGACTAAATAGTGACCTGAACAGATAAATGTCAAATTTATATGGGCAAATCAATCTTTATTTGGAGACTTCATTCGCGAAAAGCATACCCCTACTTGTTGCGTTTGGGTGACAGAATTTCCATCTGTACAGTAAGGTGAGGTGAAATGGGGTTTAACTTCGCGTCCAAGATTATTGCACGCGATTATATAGCGACGTGCATGCACGTGTGTGTGTGTGGCTGCTTGTACTAGTCCGGACTGATGCCGATTTATAGTGATGGCTCACTGAGATACCATGCCGCAGTTTAACATGGATACCCCACTCAGACACAGTATACTGACTCCGAGCGGACCAGTCCTTGTTTTAACCCCTTAATGCCGAGCACCAGGCAGGGTAACAACAAGTACCATCCTTTAACGTCTTTTGGTATGACGCGGCCGGGGATCGAACACCGGACCTTCCGCCCTCCGAGCAGACGCTCTACCACTAGACCACGGAGGCTGTCTCAGGTGTGTTGACACTGCCGTCTTTATTCACTGATTTACAAGATTTGTGAGGTCATGAAAAACACATAAACAACCCGCATCTACCGCCAGGGGCGCTGACAACTCTCAACA